CCGCCGCTGGCGCGGCGGGGGCGCCCTCCATGCGTGCGGAGCCCTGGCCGATGACGCGGCAGTGCTGCAAGTAGTCATAGCCGTCATCTGGGAAGCCATACTCTAAAAGTTCCCGCCGCCGCGCGTCCGGCAGTGGCGCCCTCGCCCGGCGGCCGCCGGCGCCGCCCCCGTCCATCTCATCGTCCTCTTCATCGCCGCCAAAAAAGTGCTCGTAAAGCTCCTGGGGGTCGGTCGGCGGGCGCTGGTGGCCGCCGGGGCCGGGGCCGCGGCCGGCTTCGTCGGGGGCGCCTTGGGGGACGAACACGCGCTCGTGGGTTAGCTCCTCCTCATTCTCGGCCGATCTGGGGATGTGAGGGTGCGTGTTTCGCGTGTGTGTGTGTGTGTGTGTGTGTGTGTGTGTGTGTGTGTGTGTGTGCACGCATGCGCATGTGTGCATTTTAGGTGGACGGGTATGTGTACACGTGCGAGGCCACCAGAGAGCACGCGGTGCCATACAAATGCATCCCCTTGCCGACATGTCGGACAGCCGCATTTTGGCGGCTCGGAGGCGCACCTGAAGACCAAAGAGAAGGTCTGGGCATTCTTCTTATCGATGAATGACTTCTTTTTGCCCATGGTGGCTGGGCCGCTGCCTGTTGCAGCCGCGTGCTGATAGGAGGACGGGCAACCGCAGGCTCCCGTGTGATTCCTGTCGGGCGCCAAAGTGGGGGTTGTACGTGGCGGCAGGTGAGTGATTGCTGAGCTTTTTGTGTCCTCTTTCAATTGTTGAGCGCCGCCGCCGGCAGGGATGCGCGCGGCGATGGGCGACGGCAACGAGCGCAACGCGAGCAGCAGCGGCGGCTGACGGCGCCAACGCCCCTTCGCGCGCGGGGGCAGTTGAGTCTCAGAAGGAAACTGAGTGAGCATTTCACATACCTTGCGCTTATGTGTATCGCACAAAACGCTGTGCGACGGTGTACTTTGAACTAAAAGATCGAGCACGCCCCCCGTGAGGTCACTCGACACGCCTTACGTGCGACATGTATAACGAGTAGCGCGCTCCGCTCTTGCTAGAGTATCACAACAAGCACCGTTGAAGGCACCTGGTGATTACGGTGGCCCCTCATGTAAAAACACAAGGGCTGGGCTGGGAAGACTAGTAGAAACACGTGCCTTACGAAGGCACCAACCCTGCGGGTGCTGTGTACTTGTCTAGGGCGGTGTGCGTACCCGCTGCCCTAGCTGGTCCGCCTCGACTGCTGGGTGCACTTGAAGGCTTGCCCCGGGATATGGTGCTGCGTGCAGGTTAACCAACAAAGATGCAGTTACCATGAGTGAAGCCTGCCTGCACGCATGGACATCTGGGACTGCATCTCGATGACCGCACATGTTGACTCTTATGGGCGGTTTGACCAACCTGTCACACACCCTTCTCAAGCTGCCGTGCAACTCGCGCGGTGAACTCCCCCCGCAATTTTCCGCCTTTTTGCGGCGCGCCTGGTGAGTGTATTACACTTGAGCACATGCACTTCTCGCAATGCGAAGATGAGTTCAGATCGCAGGCACAACGAGGTCGGCGTCACAGCGGTTGAGACGGGGACTGGGGGGGGGGGTCTTGCCACACCGCCAGCCGCCGGCCCGTCTCGCCATCCCCTGGCCCGCCCCGTCCTAAACCCAATGCGTATGACGCGCCATAGCGCTGCTGGCGGGGCATGCACCAACGCGCCGCCTAACACGGCGTCCAAATTGCCCGGGAGCAGCACGCCGTGCGGTGCCGAACAGCGTCGGCGCGTCCGCCGTCCAGCTGCATGCACACGGGGACGGCCGCCGCAGCACAGATCGCCCGCAGGTCGCAGAATGGCAATACGATGCGCAGCACGGCGCCTGCGCTTCCCTGAACGCTTCAACGAGGCCTGGGCACTCGTGGACTCGCCGGCCGCTGCAAAGCGCAGCGACGGATTCTTGAACAAAAGCCACGTGCGGGCGGGTTGGTTTCTGGCAACACTTGCTCCGCCGACGTCCCTGATGTGTGAGGGTTCTGAGCCCTGCCGCAGCGACGGGCAGCAGGCTGTCGCAAGTTTTTCGAGCGCGGCGCCGCCGCCGGCCCGCGGCGCGGCCCCCTACCAACGGCGGGCCGCGGCGCGCGGGGCGCGGCATGGGGCGGCGCGCGGCAGGATCCAGGTTCTGGCCCCGCAGGGGCTCTCGGCTTCGGTGAGAGTGGAGTGTCTGGTTCAACAAGCAAGACTGCTCTCTTGCTCGGGTGCGCGGGTGTGATGCTGCTGCCACGCGCACGTTAGTGCAAACGGGACGAGGGCGATGCGAGCTCAATTCTCACGCCCCAGGGGGCGCAGGGCCGGGGTCCGTAAGGCCGGGTACAGCCACCGCGGCGGCCCGGATTTGCGCGTGCGCGCGCCTCCTTTCGATGCGACACGCATGGTACAACGGTATTGTCACCCAAGCAGGGTGGTGCGTAAGACAGAGGCCAAGAGGACAAGCGCGCGCAGCTAGTCGACGAGTCGTCAACGGTTTGGAAGTTGTGTGGGCGGGGTGTTTGCGGTGCGGTGGTTTGAGGTTGGTGCAGCAGGGGCGGCCGCCCGTTGCGCGCGGCGCGAGCAGCCGCTCGGACGGCGGCCGCCCCGCCGCGGGGCTGGCAGCCCAGCCGGTGGCCGGGGTGCAGGCATGTAGGGGCGCGGTCGAGCCGCACCCCAACGCGGCGGCAGCCAATCAGGAGGAGCCGCGACGGGCCGGCCGACCGGCCCGCCGAACTGCTTGTCGGAGGGTTGAGCAGCCGCTTGAGCCCAGGCGCGCAACGGCACACCCAGCTGGACTTTTCGCATCCTGAAATTCGCTCGGCTCCGGTGCCACGCATGTTTTGGGGTGCGCGATTGCCCGTCGAGGCGGGCGGCCGTGGCGCTTATGGTCTGGGCGCCGCGTTCCGCATTTCTTGCGAAGCAGCCTCCTGTCATGCGCGCGGGGGTCAGCTGCGCACGCGCGTCATGGGGGTGCAAATGTGTGCAGGGCACGGCGCGCAGGGCCCGCGCGTCTGGCCGGGGATGTGTGGCCCCGAGCGGCGAGGAAGCGGAAGGGCGTTGGGCAACGGGCGGCGCTGATGCAATGCCGATGTCACAACGTAATCGAGAAGGCCGGGGATAGATCTTCAGATAACATGCCGCAGGCGGCACCACCGCCGCAAACGAACTCCACCGCAGCCCCATACCGTGAGGGGCGACCCATTGGGCAGGGTCCGGGGGCGCCGTTGGAGCGCGGGTGTTGTGCAAAGTGCACCAGAAGGCTGGGGATAGATACTTGAGGGCAGCCCGCTGGCGGCAACGCTGCCGCGAGCGAACTGCGCCGCAGCCCCGGGCAGCGGGGGAGGGGCTACGCGTTGAGCACGGGTTGGGGCGCCATTGGAACGCGGGTGTTGAGCAAAGAGCACGGGGAGGACGGGCACGGATGGTAAAACCATGCCGCTGCAACGGTAATCAACAGCACCGCAGCCCGGGTCGCGGGGAGCGGGAAGGGCATTGGAAAGGGGGGAAGGGGTGGGCGCCGTTGGAACGCGGGTGTTGTATGAAGTGCGCGAAGAGGATGGGGGTTGATCTTGAGGGCACGCCGCCGCCGCGAGCCCGCCGACCGCCGAAGCTCCCAAACGCGAGAGCCGCCCCGACGGCGGAACGCGCGACGGCCAGTGCCGTACTTTTGAGCATTCGAGGCAATGGGCGCAGGAAAGCCCTGGCTGCGAGGGCGCGCCACGGCCGAAAGGGTATGCATAAGAGGCGGAGCCTCGAGTCCCACGACAAGTCTCGGACTCGCCGCGCCCGCAGCCGGCCGCCCATCACGGGGCCGGAAGGGGGCGGAGGTTCCTTATTCGCGATGCTGAGACCAAACGTTCCCACGACATAAGGTGCCCCACCCAGAGAACGGCGCGCGCTGCCAACGCACCCGAGTGGGGATGGCAGGTACGGAAAGCAGGGCCAGGCGGCCGGCACCTGGAATCTGCTTGCGGCTGCGCGACACTGATTATGGCCACGACCGTTGCGCCGCGCGGCGGTGTGCACATATGCAGGGGCCCAAAGGTTGCGGGGCCGGTGAGAGATGTGGCGCCCGTAGTGCAAAGGCCTCCGTTCGCAGGCAGCAACGGGCCCCTGGGCGAAAAAGGAGGGGAGCCGCGACCCCCAAATTCCTAGGTTAGGGGGGCGTTCCCGATCAGTGCTTCCCTGGGAACCTAATATTAGGTGCAGAACATGCCGAGCAGCGTGCCCTTGGGCTCGCTTGAGGGACTGGTGGCAGGAAGGGGGGGGAGGAGACGGGCGCGTCGCGCAGCGCAGCCACCAAGCGCTGCGCAACGACGTGCGGCGCGAGGGGCGGGCCGTCATTCTCCGTGTCACCGTGTGCTCATCGGCCGGCCCAGACCAAACCAAATCAGACCAGCGGCATTAACACGCAGACGTCCTCATCACAAGACACCTTCCATAATATATACTTGGTACCGCGTGCGTTGGCGCGCGCATTGGCCGGGTGGCGATTACGACGCCGTTCCCGATTACTGTCGAATGCTCCTGCATATCTTCGTGACAGGCAACCCCTCTCGCACGCAAACATGTCAGCACTGCCCCTTCAGTACACTCCTGTTGAGACCGCCCACTGGGCGGAGGGGCCGTCGCCCGCCTGTGGCGCCATCACCAGGACCAAGCAGTCCTGCGGCGCAGCGCCCGCCAGCTGCGTGGGAGGGGCAACGAGCCGCGCGACTCGAAGGGGCGCCGGGGGCGCCGGCGCCGGCGCTCCCGCCACCTCCCAGCAGCCGCCCGGGGCGGCTGCGGGGCTGCCGCCGCACGCGGATGTCGAGATGGCAGCCGCGGGCAGCAGGCCCTCGGAGCCGTCGGGCATTAGCACTCTTATGTATGGCTGCAGGGCGGCGCCCGCCTGCGGGCCGGCCGCAACGGCCGCGGCCGCGGCCCCAGGAGCGAGGGAGTAGCGCTGGGCCCCAGAGATGACGAGGGGGCTGTGGCGCTGCTGCGCCTGCGCTTGCTGGACTTGAACCGCCTGCGAGGCCTGCTGCTGCACCTCGTGCTGCGCGCGCCACACCTGCCGCTGCTGGGGCAGCGCAGCCTCGAACGGCAGCTGTCCCGTGAGAGCCGCCACCTGTGCCTGCAGCGTAGCAGCTGCTGCCGCCCCACTGCCAGCAGGAGCTTCCGGAATCAAGCAGTACAGCTGCTCGGGCGCGGGCGCTGCAACTGTAGGCGTCATGGGCGCAAACGCCGTCGCCTCCAGAGCCGCCGCCGCCGCAGCTGCTGTGGCGTCGCCGCCGGCGCCGACGCCCATGCCGGCAGGCGGGGCCTGCGCGGCGCGCACGAAGGGCGCAGAGGGCCAGTCGCCGGCGGCGCCAGGGTGGCTGAGGCTCCCGGCAGCAGTCAGTACTGACAGGTTGGAGGGTCCTGGCCCCAGGCCCGCCGCTGCCCAGGCCGAGAACCCCTCTTCGGAAGACAACAGGAGCGGGCTGCCGCTGCTCGTGTCGGACGACTGGCCCCCGACACCATTCATACGCGGCAGGAAATGCAGCGTGGGCGCTGCCGGCCGCCGAGGGGATGCGAAGACGCACGGCGGCGCCGGCGGCGGCGGCGGCAGCGGCGGCTGGGTTGGCTGCAGCTGGTGATGCTGCTGCACGCGTGGGGTGGTGGCAACGATTGCATAGCTATTGCTGGCGCCGCTGCATGGCGCCACATGCTGCTGCAGCAGCAGCAGCTGCTGCTGCTGCTGCTGCTGCTGCTGCTGCTCCAACAGCTGCTGCTGCTCCAACAGCTGCTGCTGCTCCGGCTGCTCGGGGCTACTGGTCGGCACGCGCAGCTCGTCCATGCTGTGTGCAAAGAAACACACCTTACGGCGGCAGGCCGGGCCGTCGCGGCACATCTGGAGGGTGGTTTGGGGCGGTGCACGGTAGGAAGCAATCAGGAGGAGGAGGGGCAAGGTGTGGCACTAAGCATGGGGAGGAGATGAGATCAGGCGGGCCGGTAGCAGGTCCAGGCGTTGGCCCTGGCCAGCCTCAGCTCGGATGGCGGGGCACCAGGCGGTGGGTGGGTGGATGGGTGGATGGGTGGGTGAGTGATCGAGTGGGTGGGTTGAGGGGTCACCTGGGTCCTGTATCGCTCTGGGTGCAGCCAGTGCTCGAAAACGTTGTGGGCCTGGAGGGTAGGAAGGGGCGGGGTGAGCAAAGGAGGGCGGGCTTGAAGCGGTGTGGAGCTGGGGGGTGGAACATGTGAGGCATCCCCAAGGCTTGGGCTCGGACTTGATTGACAGAAAATTTCGTGGCGATCGCACAACCAAGAGGGGCTGGCGCAGCGCTGGCAAGCGCCCACGCTCTGTGAGGCACCGTGCACCCGCACTCTCTCACGCCAAGCCAAGGCGCAGCAGCAGGCGGCGTGCCGCGCACGCCACGCGCGACACGCGCCGCAGGAGCGCCGAGAGCGCCGCTCACGTAGCCGCAGGCGGCGCCGCGCGGGCAGGGGGCCCCAGGAGTCCGTGCCAGGTCAGGGCACATCGTGGATGAGTAATGCGTCGTCGCGAGCGGCCGCCGCCGCGCCTTCTCCCCGGGGTGAGCGAAGGGGCAGCGCACCCAGTTGTGGGAGTAGCGCTTGCTGCACGGCAGCACCCTGGGTCAGTCGGGGCGTTCGAGGGGGCGGGGCGAGGTGCGCGCCATCATGAGGGATTTACAGCCCGGGGAGGGACATCGCTGCCTGGGATGCGTCCAGTCAAGGGGCAGTGCGACATGGGTGGGTGTGCGGCTGCATCTGCCGCCGAGCGGCGGGGAGGGGAGAGGTGGATGATGCAGACGTGCAGTTACCCCCAAACACTGCCCCATCTCCACTGACGATGGCTGCCATGGGCCCAGAAGCAACTGGGCGTCGATGTCGGGTCACATCGCTGGTGTTTTGCTGCGATTGTTCGTTGGTTTTGCTGGGGCGTGCTCACTTGAAGCAGTTTACGCGAAACTCGTCTGTTGCGTACAGTGGGTCATCAAAGGCAGCGCAGTCCTCCTTGGCGCCGGAGCAAGGCCCCTTGCGGCCCGCGCCGCCCCGTTCCATTGCCGCTGCTGCCCCTGCCGTGCCGCTCCAAGTTGCCTCCGAGCCTGCCCCAGCAACCCCGGATCGCGACGCCGCGACGCGGTCATGCGGTGGGTGGTCTGGCCTTGCCATTTGCGTGCTATCCGCCTGTCTGGAATCCAGGGCGGTGGCGGGCGCGGTAAGGTCATCTTGTGATGAGCTCAGCGCTTGCGGGCGGCGATGCTGCGCGCTGATGCCCCTCCGTGTCTGCCATGCTCGCAAAGTGCTTTGGTTATATTCCTAAAATCTCAACACTCCGATTCGATGTGACGCGCGAGCTGAGGTGACAACGTGCACTGGCCCCCCCGCGGAACACACCGGGACAGGCGTGACTGGCGGGTGAAAGCTTTCGTGTCTTGATTTGCCCGTAGGTCTGAGGTCAGCCCATGCGCAGGCCTCCGTCCGACAGCACGCAGTTCACTGCCGATGCCGTGCGTCTTGGTCGACACAAAAGCGGATTAATTAATGTGAATAAACTGTGGCTGCGAAAAATGATCATAAGGGCGCGAAATCACGACGGGACTTGGCTGTGGTCGCAATGCGGACAGCGTAAGCCATCAGTCATCTCGCTGGGTGCGAGCCACACCAAGCGCCAGCCCTGCGTGGGAAGCGCCCAGCTTGTGATCATAGGGCTGGTCCACATGCATGTTGGGTGGTGCGCAGTTGTTAAACGCCAACGCCAGCACTCTTAAGAGCGCACGTGCGCCTTGATCCACGAGCGCCTGGTAAGCCCCCGCCAGGTGCGGCCCGCAGGCCTGGGGACAGCAGGCGGCGATTCCGTCTGTGGGGGTGCGGGGTTAGGCCTGATGAAAGCGAGTTGCGCATAAGGACCTTTCTCTCCCCTAAAGGACCTTGTGTTGTTGCGGTGGGAAGCGGCACCTTGTCAGCACACGTGCTTGGGCTAAGAGCCTCGCGGGCAAGTACTTTGCGCAGCAGCGCTCTGTCTCCGGCACCCACAGCTGTCGATCCCTGGCCTTGCGGGGCCTCTGACGCCACGGCTCATTCATCCAATCTTCCGCCTCTCTGTCCTCTTTCGAACTGCAGGCTGCGGGGTCCTGCATGCGAGCGAATCGCCGCGCCGCTCGAGCGTCGCTGCCGCTCCTTCCGAACTGCTTTGACACGCTGATCGCCCGCCACGCAAATAATACTTGATCATAACAGGCATTGAGCGCCCCACAAAGCTCCAGTCCCTGAAGCAACAAAAACCCAGCATTTGGGGCATGGTGTGATGCATGCACGACAGCGCACGCCGCAATCCTCGCGTCTGCACCATCACATCTTCCCCTCTAACCGCAGAGCGGCGGCCGCCGCGTGCTCCCGCGCGTCCCGCAGCGCCAGCGTCAGTTGGATGCCACTGAAAACAGCAAGCATGACGTAAGGCAGGAACGCCGGAGTCCCCAGCACTTGGTACAGCAGGGGCCGGATGCCCTCTGGCCCAAACGCAAAGCCCACGAGGTTGACAGTGATGAGGAACACCATGTTGACCGCGGCCGCGGCCGCGGCGGCGTAGCGGAACGCGCGCCCGGACTTGTCGCGGATGCACCACGGTTGGGCGCCGACCCACTTGCCGGCCGCCTCGGGCGCGATGATGAGGGCCATGAGCCACGCCCAGCTGAGCATTTGGGGCTCTACATCGTGCCAGAGGGCCACAAACGTGAATATGGGCCACACGTTCAGCAGCCGCCACGTGGCGCCGCCCATGGGAATGTACCTGGCGGGCAAAAGAGGTTGTGGGCGTTCGAGTCGCTGTCGACCAAGGGCCCAGCCTCATGTTCACGCGCACGTCTGCGCGTCTGCAGGAAGGCAAGAGCTTTCGCACACGAAAGCGACCACACATGTGCACTCACGTGACGCATGTAGCACACCTGAGCAGCCATACGCGTGCATAATCATGGGTGTCACAGGTGCGCACGGCATGCCCGTGTTGCACACGTGCCAAAAGCGCATGTGCACGAGCGCACATGCAAAAGCGCATGTGCACGAGCGCACATGCACATGCACATGCGTGCGCGCACGCGCTCGCGCACGTGCAGACACACGCGCACGCACACGCGCACGCACACACGCACGCACACACACACACACACGCACACACACACACACCACACACAAACAAACAACACATGCCTGTGCACCCACGCACACATGCTCAACATGCACGTCCACTCACCACAAACACCCACCCAAAACCACCCGACATGCGACGGCTCACATGTACCGCACTAGCCAAAGGTTGTAGCTGGCGTGCCAGTTCTTCCAGAACCCCACGATGTCGTAGTTTGCACACAGGCAGCGTGTCAGGTTCTCTGGGACGTCCATGCCGTCTGCCAGGGCCCACAGCCTGCGGGGGTCCAGGCAAGGTGTGTGTGTGTG